TGCTAGCTTTTAAGATCCCAGTCGCTACTCGCCAAAGTAGGAGGTGGAACAATGTTTTGTATAGTATGTTATGCCAATTGAGCTTGATGTCTCTGGGGATATTTTTGGTTTAAGGTTTAAAGATGATCTCAGGGCAATAGTTTTAGGGGTTCATTTACCTTCTTCCATGGCTCCAGAAAGTCTAAAGTCCAGGAGAATTTTAAATTCTTTTTTGCATTTCCCCTTTTGATCAGGATTCTTCTATAGAATCTTTGATCAAAATGTTTAGTAAGAGTAGCTGGGCACCATCCAGTTCTGGTGGTTCTCATGGCAAAGGAGGTAGTTGTTTATGGACATAATTAGACACACATTCTATATCGCCCTCCTACCTGATTCTCCTTCTTCGTCTATTGCTCCAGGTGAACAGGGACCAATTGTTGTGCCTTGGATGGCTGTGTGCATGCTTTTAACACCCTAGGCACTACACAACAGACTAAGATAGAACAGAAGCTCTGAACACGTTATTAGGCCAGTTAACTGCTATGTCCCACAAAACCATGACTGTAAACTGCCAAACCAAGGAACCAAATCCTATGAAGGATTGGTTTTACATAAGCAGCTTCAGCAACTACTTTTTTTTTTTTTGTCATTGTTGTAAATATGTGTATCATAGGACTTTTGCCAATTCAACTTTTTATAGGTATACTACTTATCGACATCAATTATAATTATTGTGCAACCCTACCCTTAATCAATGTAATTTTTTTTTTTTCACTTGTGATTTGGGTGAAAATTTACAGAGCAAATTCACTTTCCACACAACGTTTCACATACACTTTGTCTCATGACATTGACTATAATTTACCCCAGTGCAACAGCTCCCCTCCCACTTCCACCCGATAGTTAACTCTTCCCTGTGTACATCCCTCCATGCACTCCTGCCCCCTGAGCTGTCTCCTTGTGCATAAATAGCTCTTCTTTCTCCCATGATTGATCTCTCCAAGGAGTGTATCTACCTCAGGTAAATTGGTCAACTCATATGCCTGTCTTTTGTTTGGCTAGAAGCCATAGGTGTGGGTTCAGTCCTAGACTTGAAGGGCAGCTAGGAGCCATAGTCTCAGGGGTTCCACCAGGCTCTATCAGACCAGCAAGCCTGGTCCCCTTTTTTTTAAAAAAAATGATTTTGAGTTTTGTTCCACATTGTTCTCTCTTTCTATCCAGGATCTACTGCGTAGATCCCTCTCTGAGTGGTTGACAGTGGTAGCCGGGCACTATCTAGTTCTTCTGGTCTAATAGACTATATAGGCTGCACATCGCATGGTGTGCCCATTGCTAGGACTAATTGTTTCCATGAATTTTTGGTTTTCTTCATTCTTCTTTGCTCTGGATGAGGAGAGACCCATCGTTGCATCTAGATGGCTGCTTGCAAGCTTTTAAGATCCCAGTCACTACTTGCCAAAGTAGGAGGTGGAACACTGTTCGGTGTAGTGTGTTATGCTGATTGAGCTTGATGTCCCCTGCGACTATG